AAAATATATATTAAGCATTCACTCTCAATGCTAACAGAAAAATGATAAAAGCATATAAAAATAAAATAGTGTTTCAGAATAGGAAGAGAAGAATCCCAGTTGTTATGAGACTGTAGGGGATCCCTAAGACATACAAATAAGCACAGAGATATATAAGGAAAATAAAGGTAAACAGAGAATCTCATAAACCAATGCCGCCATGGGAGCTGTCCCTGTAGTTTCTGCAGAGGAAGCCTTGTGTCTCAGGACCAGAAGCCTCCAGGAAGGAGCCCGTTGTGATCCCAAGAAACTATAGTAATTGCAGCAGAGGAAAACATTTCATTTCCAGAGTCAAATGCCCATACACAGAATAGTTTTCCAATGTAGTTTTCCAAGACAGAGGGCTCTCCAGCTTAGGATGAAGACCATAAAAGTAGACAGCATCACAGATCAATACAGAGAAGAATGCACACCCAGAGATGCAACAGAATTCTGACACTGCTGTCAATAAACTGGAAAATGGGAGGGGTTGATGGTGATGATGGAGTACGTGCTACTCTCGAAATATACTTCTCCCTCTATCCAAGGAAGCACAGTTAAAAGAATAACCAGAAACTAATCTTCAATAATTATACTCCATTTGTACCCTCACAAAAATAGTAAAATTATATTTGTAAAAACAGCATGCTATGAAACCGTAAGTAATAATAATTATCAATTAGCTGATGAATGACAACATATTTTTCAATGCAGAGAAAAACTCTATAATGAATTATTAATATGGAATTATGATACAAGTTTATTTCCCTAATTTCAGCATATAAATTCCCAAATCTTTAACTTTCTGAGCATTAACATGATGCCACAAGTGGAAAATTCTGTACTTGAGTTCAATATGACAAATAACAGTCAAAATGCACAAAATTAATAAAAATATTTTATCAGATCACTTCCAGTCTGCCTTTCAAATCAGATAAATAAATAAGTAAATAAATAAATATAATGTTTTCCTTAAAAAAGAGGGTAGTTTTTGGCTAGCATATAAGATGCCATTTGAAACACCTTCATCCTGGGTGACTGAGTCCTGGTGACTTGAGTCCTGGCTCAGCTTACAATTCCAATTTCCTGATAATATGTACCCTGGTTTGCAGAAGGTGATGGTTCAAGTACTTGGGTCCCTGCCAGCCATATGGGAGACCTAGATTGACTTCCAAACTCCTGAATTCAGTCTAGCCCAGCCTCAGCTGTTAAGGTGGAATTTAGGAGTAAACCAACAGATTGGAGATCTCTGTTCTCTCTATATTGCCTGTTGCCTCTTTCTCTTTCTGCCAAGAGAGTTAAAAGAAGGAACACAAAAGAATTTTAATGATATTTTAATCAAAATAAAAACAATAGAGTAAATCAACAAAAGTAAACATTCTTCAAGCTGACTAATAAATTACACAACTCTGAGTGTGAACAAAGAAGACATACAACACAAATAAGTAGTATTACAACTGATTTAAGACATTTATTATGAATTTTTTTTTTTTGACAGGCAGAGTGGACAGTTTGAGAGAGAGACAGAGAGAAAGGTCTTCCTTTTTGCCGTTGGTTCACCTTACAATGGCCGCCGCGGCCCGTGTGCTGCGGCCGGCGCACCGTGCTGATCCGAAGCCAGGAGCCAGGTACTTCTCCTGGTCTCCCATGGGGTGCAGGGCCCAAGCACTTGGGCCATCCTCCACTGCACTCCCTGGCCACAGCAGAGAGCTGGCCTGGAAGAGGGGCAACCGGGAAAGAATCCGGTGCCCCGACCGGGACTAGAACCTGGTGTGCTGGCACTGCAAGGCGGAGGATTAGCCTAGTGAGCCACAGTGCTGGCTATTATGACTTATTTAAAACTCCTGTAAAATAATTCTGTTATTACTAAACTAATAATTTGAAAATGTCATTTTTGTAGTTTATATAAGTTACCACTATTGGTCCAAAATAATAATTTTAAAAATCAAACATGCCCTTGCTCACCCTAGCCAAAATAACTGTTGTAGGCTGTGGGTTTCCCTCCTGTTTACTCCAGGTTCACCCCTCCATGAAAGAATTCAAAGTAGAGACACAAAGATGTGCAAGGAAAAAGGATTTGTGCAAAGAAAAGGAAAATTGTGGGCAAGTTCCAAAGAAAGAGAGAAGGAATAAAAATCCAAAACACAAAAGACCCTCAAAGAAGGAATAAAAACTCTCACAAAGAAAACCTTCCTCAACAAGTTTAAGCTTTGCCTTTGCACAAATCAGAGGCATAGGCTGTGATCTCTGGAGTAGAGATTAACTGACTATTCACAAGGAGGTGGAGTTTGTGGTAGGGCTTGAGTATCACCCATTTTGTGCCTTTTTCCCAGAATACCAGAAGTGCCATAGCATTAGGGGCTTAATGGAGATTGGATGGCCCCTTAGGATAATTTTTATTATAATAAGATTATAATGACCTGAAAGTTCATCACACGGACATATCATGTAGCTATATTGGATATTTCAAGCTAGCTCTGGTTCCATATTTACAGCATCAAGGAACTTGTGATTTGCAGTACATAGACAGGAGGTTGGTGTGGTGGTCACTGGGGCTTGGATGACACACACAGAAAGGGAGTTGTCATGTGAACTGATCTGGGCTGTTTTATAGGGGCTTGCTGCAGATGTCCTGACAGCTTTCAGAACCAGCCCACAGTGGGTTGCACTGGAGTTGTCGAACATTGGCCTACCAGAGCAGTCAAACCATGGTTCAGCTGAGGCTCCCAGACCTTAGCATTTTCAGCCAGTTAACACTACTTACCTTCCCACATTATTTCTCCTCCTCAGAGAATTTTGTCCCTTAATCATCACAGGAGGTTGAAGGAGGATGATCAGGCTTCTATAACTTCATGCTCTTTCTGGGCATTGTCTCTGCCTAGTCAGGGAATGAAGATTCCCAGATGACAGATCCAAAGATATCAGTTCAGGAACTAGAGGCCCGCAACCAGCTATTGGACATTGCTGGAATGCCCATATTACCAAACATGGAACTGCTGAATTCTGGAAAAGAGAGATTTGACAGGAAGAGTGTAATTGGACAAAAACAACAACAACAAGGATAGGAGCCATGGGAGAGAGCGCTTCTTACTGCCTACCGGATGGTGGGAACTGATGCGCTTGCTTTACCAAATGCATGGGACCACTTGGCTTGTTGCTAAATCCTTTTGCTTTCTTTCCAGGAGCACACAGCTGTCCATTTAACCAGTATGCTTATTCCACCTTGTCCTATCAGTAGGTGTTCTAGAGACAGTAGGGAAACCACAGAATTATGTACTTGCAGTAGAGCCTGTCTAATGGTCTGGGCTAAGTTGATCAAGGCAATAGACAGGTTCTTAAAGACTAATGAACTAAGGGAAATATCTGATCTCTTTCCTTCCCATTAATATTTTATGGGAGAAACATATAAAAAAATATGGACCAGTTTTATTTATGACAGGTAAAGACATGTAAATAAACTATCAAATGAAATCTAATTTTTTGAATAAATTACTATAATGTATAATTTTTGCTAAGAATACAAGAGTGTTCAAATTTCTAAAGCATTTAAAGAAAAGAGTAAGATAAGAACAATTGACAAAATAAATTAAACTATGAAATGTATAGTTGTGTGAAGCAATACATAATTTTGTGAGGAGAATTTTTGTATTCATATAAATATAGATGTCTATAATGTGGTAAATGTTTGCATATAATTTTAAAAGAATTGAAAAAGAAATGAGGCCGGTGCCGCAGCTCACTAATAATCCTGTGGCGCTGGCACCCCGGGTTCGTCCTGGTCAGGGTGCCGGATTCTGTCCTGGTTGCTCCTTTTCCAGTCCAGCTCTCTGCTGTGGCCAGGGAGTGCAGTGGAGGATGGCCCAAGTCCTTGGGCCCTGCACCCACATGAGAGACCAGGAGAAGTACCTGGCTCCTGGCTTTGGATCTGTGTGGTGCGCCGACCGCAGCGTGCCGGCCGCAGTGGCCATTGGAGGGTGAACCAACAGTAAAGGAAGACCTTTCTCTCTGTCTCTCTCTCTCACTGTCCACACTGCCTGTCAAAAAAAAAAAAAAAAGAAAGAAAGAAAGAAATGAAAGATATTAAAATCATACTAGTGTTTACAAGGGAAATTGTAATGTATGAATGAATGTTGGAATGTCATGAGAGGCAATGGTTTTATCTCAAAGTTGTATTCTTGAGGTTTTTATTATTTTTAGTTGTTTGTTTGAAGAAAACTGTATGAATTTCATGTGACATAAAAACCTGAATACAGTTGCCACAGTAATTTAGTGACATTCATAGCTTCAGAATGACAATCCCATATGTGATAATTCTTTGGTTATACTTCAAAAGAATGTTTTAATAATGCTCTTAAAAAGCATTTTTCAAGTCATCCAAAAACATGTAGAAATGAACATAGATGAATAATTTTGTATGCAAAAATAGTATACTTTGGGTTTCATTTTTGGTTTGTTTTGTCTGCTTGGGGAAGTATTTCAACCAACAGTTACCAAGGAGAGTGAAAGATCCTGGGTAGAGGTATTCATTGATTGCTGTAGGAACACAGAATCATAAAGTTTCCTCATGCCCTGATCATGATGTAAGAATTTACTGTGTCATATACAGATTACAAGAATAAGAAAAGTCTTTGGCATTTGGGGAAATACATATTTTCATATGTGTAATGTGAGCATTTGTACAAACTGAACTCTGAGACTCTCATAATTGTTCTATTAGAGATATGGTCTCTGGCAACTTGATCAAATGTAGTGACCTAAGGTTTTCCATTTATAAAATGAGACAAATACACTAATCTTTCCCCAGAGATCCTTTCATCAAAACATGTCATAATAATGACAAAAGAAAAATTGGATTGGCAAATATATTCATCATCTGCTTTGAAGTATTTTTAATATCGAGAATGTGTATCTACTTAACTTGTAGTATGGGTATCATGTGTTTTCAATCCTTGAAAGGTGACTTTTATCTTTTCTTTCCACAGAAATTGAGAAAGAAAGTTGTGGCGATCCAGGTACACCCTTATATGGAATCAGAGAAGGCGATGGATTTTCTAATCGTGATGTTTTAAGGTTTGAATGCCAGTTTGGATTTGAATTAATTGGAGAGAAATCCATTGTTTGTCAAGAGAATAACCAGTGGTCTGCAAACATACCCATCTGTATCTGTGAGTACCACATGCTTTTCTTCCAGAAAGCATATGCTACCATGTCCTTGTATATAATTACTTTTATAATTAATTGCAAAGAGTTATAACCATGTAATTATTTTTGGAGGAGTAGCACTTTGTGATACTATCTTTAACAAGTGTTCTTATGCCAAATTATAAATTTCAATACAGATTTAAATAAAGTTTCCATAGTTCACTTGCTAATTGCAAAATATATATTATGTGTATTCTTATAACACTTTATTAGGTGGCATTTTATACTTTATGGATAGCATGCTTCTTATGGAAATTATATATTTGAGCTAATTCTAATAGAAATATTTATCTTAATAAGATAGTATATGCTTATTTGCATTCATAAACTTAAAATATTTAAAGCTTATATTCTATGTATAATGCATTAACTTACTTTTGCTATGCTCACACTAATGCATAAAATCCTTTTATTTATATTGCACTGAGTAAAAGTCATTAGTGCATATGATATACAATACGTTCGAATTAAAAGAATATATTTTTCCAAGTATATTAAGACATTCCAGTTTAATTACAACAAAAATATAATTTGTATTACCTAATTGATGCACTTTTAGGTTCAGTTAGATACTATTTTCATTACATTACAGCAAAGTGTGTAGTTTGGAACATGGCAGTAATTTCCCCAGTTATAATATATATTATGTTTACTCTTCAGGAAGTCTTAGAGAGAAAGAATGCACACACACTCTTAGTAGAATCATTTTTGTTTATGGACAGTTCTCATTCCTAATCAAGATTACCTTATGATGTTCTTGTTGTAAGAGAAGAAAATATCGGGATATTCTGATTTACTTTTGTTTGCATCATCTAAAGCTTAGTAATTCTTCAAAAGACTTTAATTGAAAATCTTTAATTCTAGGTGTTCTTCCAGAAAGATAATGGTGGCTTAATATTAGATAATTTATGTAATGTATCACATCAAAAATATATTAAAAGCATCTTAGTAGATGGTAAAATGGATGTAATAACATTATTTATTATTGCTGTCTACTTTTTTTTATGCATTTGAATGCAGAGTTACAGAGAAAGAGGGAGAGACAGAGAGAGTTAGAGAGATCTTCCATCTGCTGGTTCACTCCCCAAATGGCTGCAGCAGCAAGGGCTGTGCCAGGCTGAAGCCAGAAGCTTATAGCTTCTTCAGGGTCTCCCATATAAGTGCAAGGGCCCAGGTACTGGGACCATCTTCCATTGCTTTCCCAGGCACGTTAGCAGGGAGCTAGATTGGAAGTGGAGCAGCCAGCATTGCATGTGGAGGCTTACAATGCTAAGCCATAATGCTGACTTGTACTGCTTTCTAATTTTTTAATTCTTGAAAATCTACAGACTGTTTTTACTAGTTTAAAAATAATTCCTGGCTGGTGCTGTGGCATAGTAGGCTAAACCTCTGCCTGTGACAACGACATCCCAAATAGGTGTGCCGGTTCATGTCCCAACTGCTCCTCTTCTGATCCAGCTCTGTTAATGCACTGGGAAAGCAGTAGAAAATGGCCCACATGCTTGGGCCCCTGCACCCACATGGGAGACCTGCAAGAAGCTCCTGGCTTCAGATCAGGGCATCTGGGGAGTGAACCAGCAGGTGGAAGACCTTTCTGTCTGTCTCTGCTTCTCTTTGTCTATAACTCAATCTCTCAAAAAAAAATCTTAAAAAGAAAAATTTCAGCATCTTGATATATGATAAAATGGAATCTCTTAATAATGTTCTTATATAGTACCATTAGCTTATTTGAAAATGTATTTGAAAGAAAATCTTTTTAAAATAATACTAATATATGTAGAAATAATTATGTAAGACCTAACAAATCATAGGAAGAAAATTATAAAACATAGCAACAAAATTTTGTACCAAAAAAGAGATAAGTGATATATTCCTGAATGAGAACATATATTTAATATGTGAATTATAAAAAATTATTTACCACTTTAATCAAAACCCTAAAATACTATTTTGGGTGATTGATCAAATGTATTGACATACAGTTAGATAAAAGTAAATAAAAAATAGGTATGATAATTTTGTAAAAACAAAGTGCTTATATGAATGCTAAAGTATACTATTAATTGGAAAATTAGTGTGATACTAAAAAGGTATAAAACTGAGTCAGAGTGTTACATAGAAACTGCATTTGAAATATTATGCATTTAAATTATGAAGTAAACATCTGCCAATCTTTCTGATAAGGACAGTTAGACTGATGACTTTAGTCAGCTTTTGCCCCAAAAGGAATGATTAAATCAAGAGCTGGCACACTGAACTGATGGGCTAAATCCAATTGGTTGTCTGGATTTGTAAGTAAAGTTTCATTGAAACAAAAAGTATGTATTTCCATTTACCAATCATCCAAACTGTCTTTCATCTATAATAAGTTAGAAGCTACAAAAGAGACCAAATGGTTTGCAAAGGCAGAATATTTACTATTTGTGTGTTAACAGAAAAGTTTTTCTGACTGCTAATTAATTTAAACCAAGGGTTACAGAATCTAATGATTCCAGGTTGCAGGCAGGCAGAATAATGAAGGAGGAACCAAAGTGTATATGTGTATGTGTCTGTGTGCATCTATTTTGGAGAGTGATGGGGTTATTGGGGTGATCTTTCAATAGAGGCTATACTTCCTATTTTCCCCCTCAGATGTTAAATATAATGATTTTAAAATGTGAATTCAAATTTTTTTGTGTAACAGGAGAGAAACTAATGAAACCAAACTGATCTGCAATCTGATTTCAGCCCAGTGATCATCAGTTTGCAAAAGCAAGCAAACAAGCCCCTAAACCCATACGTTTAACATATAAAATATTACAACTAAAACTGGGGCCAACTTTGTGGTGCAGCACTTAAGCCACCACATCACCTATGAGTGCCAGTTGCAGTCAGTTATAGCTGCTCCACTTCCGATCCAGCTACATGTTAAGGTGCCTGGGAAGATAGCAGGAGATGGCCGAAATCTTTGGGTCCCTGCCACCCACATAAAAGACCCAGATGAAGCTCAGGTTCCTGGCTTTGGCTTAGCCCAGCCTTAGCTGTTGCAGCCATCTTGAGAGTAAACTAGAAGATGGAAAATCTGTGTGTGTGTGTGTGTGTGTGTCCCTTACTCTCTTTTTCTCTATAACTCTGCTTTTGAAATAAATATTTTTTTTTTAAAGAAAGCTAAAACTGTAGAGACTGGCACAGTGGCGCAGTAGGTTAATCCGTTGTGGTCAATTGGGGAGTGAACCAGTTGACCTCTCTTTTTCTCTGCCTCTCCTTCTCTCTCTATGTAACTCTGACTTTCAACTAAATAAATAAATCTTTTAAAAAATGTATCCTAATGAAATAATTAACAAAAACAACAAGACTGTCTTCAAAAAGATGGTAAATTTTGTTAGAGTTACAGAGAGAGAAAGAGAGAGAGGGAGAGAGAGATCTCTTTCTTCAGCTGGTTCACTCCCCAAGTGGCTCCAACATCTAAAGGTTGGGCAGGCCAAATCCAGGAGCCAGAAGCTAAAAGTGTCTTCCAGGTCTCCCACTTGGGTGGCAGGTGCCCAAACACTTAGGCCATCTTCCGCTTCTTTTCCCAGGCCATTAACAGGGGCCTGGATTGGAAGTCAGCAGCCAAGACATGAACTAGTGCCCGCATTGGACCCACTATGCCACAGTGCTGTCCCCTTAAACATAAAATTCTAATTGCCAATAAATATATTTTGAGTAGATTGATTTTATATCCATTCAAGTGAATGGAGTGATTTAAAGTATGCTTAATGACTTGAAGAATTCACATTAAAAACACTGCAAGAAAATATACCAATATTTTAATTTTGATGTGATAGATTATTTTCTGTTTTCTTATCCTTACTGTACTCAACACTTTTTAACAGTTATAAATTAACCTTTAAATCAGTTATTTTAAAAGTTAAGAAAATGGAGGAGAGAGGAAGACTTCCTTTTAGTGTGGTATAAGCTCTCATTGATCTGTTTTTCCAATATTAGTCACAGTCATGGCTAGTATAACACTTAATTCATCTCTTTCTTTGTGTTATAAACTATCAGGGCATCTTAAAGCCACAGCAGGAATGAAATTCACCTAATCACCACTTCTGAGCTGCAGAATCCTAGTTCTTTTAATATATTTATATTGCAAATATTTTTCTCTTCAATCACTTCACAAGCCGCATTGCTTCCTATGAGATTGTCTATTCATTTCTCAGTATGTGTTTGCATAGCACTGTAACACAAATTGGACAAATGTCAAAAGAGGTTGTTTCTATACCCCAATTATCCTTTTCTTTATATTTATGCATATAGTCTTAAATTCACCTAATATACCAGTTACCTTTTCTAGTATGTAAAAATGGTGAATGATCTGTTTCATGTGATAATTTACAGTGTCTAATATTATCAAACTGCTAATTATCATTATTAATATTTTGAATATTTATTATATTTTATAATCTTCCTGTTTTGCCAGTTCCTTGTCTCTCTAACTTTACTGCACCAATGGGAACAGTCCTTTCTCCTGATTATCCAGAAGGGTATGGAAATAATTTAAATTGCATTTGGACTATAATCTCTGATCCTGGGAGCCGAATACACCTTTCTTTCAATGACTTTGATCTGGAGTCCCAGTTTGATTTTCTTGCTGTTAAAGATGGTGACTCCCCAGACTCCCCCATCCTTGGAACTTTTACTGGAGCTGAGGTTCCTTCCCATCTTACAAGTAATAGTCATGTTCTGAGATTGGAGTTTCAAGCTGACCACTCAATGTCGGGACGTGGCTTTAACATCACTTATAACAGTAAGTTTTTTTTTTTTTTTTTACTCTATTTAACAAATTTCTACAAATTAGAGCTGGAAAAAGGATCATGCAAAGCAGTTCTCTTGTTTTACAAATAAGAAAACTTAAGTGAATATAGGCCTGGTTGTGCCAAAGATAGTCATTTAGTGCTTGATTTCCAACCATATTTTTCTCCCTATAGAGTCATTTTTCATTGTTTGTGAGCGGCCTGATATTAAGGAAATGTGCTTTAAATGTCAATATGATATCAGCCAATAGATTAGCTTATTCTAGTAAATGGTAGCGTAAACTCAAACCTGCAATATGTGATATAATTTACTTGGTTATTTTTATATGCAAATTTAAAAGGAAAATGAATCTTTCCTTCAAGATATTACTAACCAGTAGGACTTTAAACAAATAATAGCTAGAGCTCAGAGTTATAATTCCAAGGTAAAATTTACAAGTCTGCACAAGCATCACAGAGTAGGAAGTCAATAACTGTGGCTCAGTGGACCCCGGGGCTGACTTACCAGAACCACTAGAGTGAGGTTAAAAAGAAACAAAAACAAACTGGTGAACAAAAAATACTTCGGTGATTAATATACAACTCTGAAATCAAACTATACAACTTCAAATAATGACTTTGCTACCTTTTTAAGTTTCATAAGTAGGCCGCAATGTAAACGTCAGTAAAGGCCCTTTGATTGTTTAAAGAAGTATATTAGGTGATACATGTAAATAATCTAGCACAGAGAACATGGTACCTGGTAAATGCTCAATAATTACTAGCTGTTGTCATTTAGCTGATTTTTGACCTGTTGTATTTATCATATTTTTTCTATGTTTGAGGTGTCCTCTTTAAAAAAAAAAAAACTATTTTCCATCAGCTAGGCTCTTCTTTTTTTTGCAGTTTATAGAATTAATATTTTATGTGGAAAAATGCTTAGAATTATAGTAGAAAGATGAATCACTTAAATGAGCAAAAATCTTACTAGGTTAACACACTTATAAAGGAATGCTTCTGTTTGCAAATGTTTTAACTGAAGCCATAGAATAATAGTGATTTTATTGCTTTCTTTTGAAGCTTTCACACTGTCAGATATTTACCAACCAATTGAGTTAATATTCAAGTGTTACATAACCATAGGATTGTTTTCAGATATTCTTGTTGCCCTTTAAAAAGAATTTCACCAATAGCCTGCTGCCCTTGCCTATTCAGTGCTGAGCTTTGGCAGTTAGTAACAAAAGGCTCCTCTTGTCTTCAAGGTGACGCTAGTGCTGGATACAATCACTAATAAGTTGTTACTGGATAATTGCACATCATTAAAGTTAAATTAGCTGTGATACGTGCAAGAGACACATGCAGTATAAAATAGCTGCTTTATCTGGCAATGCTTAAAAATTTTTACATATATTTATAAAGACAGATACATATATGCATGTATAATTTTCATCTTGTCTTAAATGCATAATACTTTTATCTTTAATGTTTATGATACTTTTCAAGGTATTATATGGATAAACCTATGTTTTTGGTCCCATTTCTACTGTAAATAATTTTATTGATCATATGCAAATTCTTATATTTAATGCTTACTACTGAGATTCTTTTTTAAAATAGTTGGGGCACTACATATTATAGCAAACAGGCTTAATTAAAATTGAGTTTTAAAAATTAGAAGTTAAAATAGGCCTGCGCTGCGACTCACTAGGCTAATCCTCTGCCTTGTGGCACCGGCACACTGGGTTCTAGTCCCGGTCGGGGCGCCGGATTCTGTCGCAGTTGCCCCTCTTCCAGGCCAGCTCTCTGCTGTGGCCAGGAAGTGCAGTGGAGGATGGCCCAAGTACTTGGGCCCTGCACCCCATGGGAGACCAGGATAAGTACCTGGCTCCTGCCATCAGATCAGCGCAGTGCGCCAGCAGCGGTGGCCATTGGAGGGTGAACCAACGGCAAAGGAAGACCTTTCTCTCTGTCTCTCTCTCTCTCTCACTGTCCACTCTGCCACTCAAAAAAAAAAAAAAAAAAGAAGTTAAAACAATGATTAGAAAAAATGTAGCTACAAAACATTTTGTATACTTTAGATTTACATTAATATCCTTTTGTGTTGTTTAATAAAAATGATGATAGATAATAAAATTATACAATTTATGAACAGCATTAAGATAATTAGTGAGAAAATTTAAAATAACCTTCATGCACTCAATAAGAATAAATATATGAAATCATAAACACTTCATAAAATATAGTTATACATTTACTTTTGTTACTTTTATTTGTATTATTTTAAATTAAAATTTTATAGCACACAATTTGGTCTGCCAGATAGGTAAAGAGAAAATGTGAACGGCTCATATAATCCCTAATCTATGAACAATTCACATAAGCAAAATTATCACACTTCTGATATTATACAAAGGGAAGAAACAAATTAAAATAAGATACTATACCTGAGTTTAAGAACTGAACTTTCTCCTAAGAAACACGAAACATATAACCTAAGATAAAATCAACTGTTGAGAAAAAATGAAAAGATAAATCAAGTAAAACATTACAGTTTTATTCTCACAATGAGTCTGTGTCTCCATTTGCAACAGAATGAATCACAAAAATAGTTTCCAATGAAATCTGCCATTGGACTGTAGGCAATATACTTTGTATTCACAGTTATTGACATTCTGACCAATGACATTATTTTCCAACTTATACTGGAAATTTTGGAATTTGTTTAATAATCTCTAGAAATAACTAGAAACAACTCTAATTTGAAATGTTTTAATCTTAGATCATAATTTATATTTTAAAAGAGTCACACCTATTCCACATCACAGGCAAACAGATCTGTTTAGAGAAGAGCCTGCAAATTTAAATAAAGTTCTAAAATGCTTTTCTAGAAATAAGTAGAAAAATCTTTAAAATTCACTTTTTTCTCACTTAAAAATAGGCAACGGTCTTCTCACTCATGCTGATGCATTGTGTTTTTCTTTGTTTTTCATTCTAAAGCTTTTGGACATAATGAGTGCCCTGATCCAGGAATACCAATCAATGCACGACGTTTTGGGGACAACTTCCAATTAGGAAGTTCAATTTCAGTTATTTGTGAAGAAGGATTTATTAAAACCCAGGGAACAGAAACAATTACTTGTATTCTTATGGATGGAAAAGTAATGTGGAGTGGACCAATTCCAAGATGTGGAGGTAGGTGCAATAAGGAGTAAAAAATATAACCACTAGAAATAATAACAGGAAATACATTATTGTACCAGGACTGTTGCAATCTTTAGCTTAAAATATTTCTTAGTAAGAAACATTAAACAAATATGTTAAACAAATTACATTTGCAATTTCCCATGTCAGAAGTTGTTTTTAGAAATTTTATATAAGCTCTCTTTTAGTACATTAATAAAGGGGTGCAAGTATAAAATCTCTAGTATACTTCATAGTCATATAACTGGTTAATTGAAGTTACAGTTTAAAGAGAGAAATTTTTTAGTTTCCATTTACATGTTTTAGTATTTTAACAATTATGGTATGTGCTTATTTCCCTTTAAAAATTAGTAAGCAATGATTAATTCTACACTTGATCTTAGCCAAAAGGCTGAAAAATGATAATTAATTCTAATAAATAAATGAATTTATGCCACAATATCCATATATTTAAATGATTATTGTAAGCAGAGTTTGCTAAATTTTTCCAATTTTTATTTTCCCAGTGAAATATAGTAAAGAAAGTTTAGGGCCATATGTAATTACATATATATATATATATATAATATATTATTTGGAATATATATTTATTTATATATACAAACTCATAAAGTTCTGATTTATGTTGGTAGAGAAAGAATAATTTCTTAATCAAAAACAAAATATATCAGCTATATTTTGTATCAATTCAGAATCAAAAAAGTTATGTGTGTATGTGTATGTGTGTGGGTATGTGTTGCTTTATTTAGCCTTGCCACCATAGAAAATAACATTCCATATTCTAATTCTCTCCTTCCACTCTAGTATCTTAAAGATACACATCTACTTTATTGAAATGATATATATGAACTTATACTAAGAAGTAGATAACAAGAATTATAAAGCACCCTTGAATAGATCCCTATATAAATAACTACGTGATCATGTTAAAAATAATTTCTTCTCTTTCTTGATTTTTCAGTTTTTCTTACCTGTGCTCAAACTGACGATAGAAACTTGCTTCCTTAATTTCTATCTGATGAATTATGTATGTTTAATATATAGTTTTCCAAAGTATGGCAGACTTGATTGAAATGTAAACATTACTGATAAATTGTTGATTGGAAATTTTTATAATTCCTCATGAAGAAGTAATCCCAGACTGCATATAATTGGGTTTTCTTAGAAATTCTTTCAAGTAACACCTCTCTCCTCTTTACTTTTTTTTTTTTCTCATTTGTAATATCAGAACATATAGCCAGATGACTTTGTTCTTTTGCAGGTCAAATATTATGGGTTTTATAGGAGATGCTCTAACAATAATTGTGATTATGATATTATTTAAAAGCTGTAATGGAGTTGCATAAAAAAGAACTAAAATAGAAAGAGAAAAATGGAAAGTAATGTTCAATTCTGCCATAAGTTACCCTTGGGCCTATTCCTTCTTTTGTCATACATATTTCCAGACTGAGATTGTGCAACCTGTTAGGAAAGCCTACTTTAGTATTTGAAGAACACAAAAGCAATGGGGCAAAAGTTTGTTTCAGCCAGAAGAAATTGCACCACTTCAATGTGAGACAAATGGAAGGAGAGAAGCATGAGCCTGATGAATCACTAGAGGGTTCCAGAGCATGACATACTTTGTAAATAATACCATATAGTTTGAAAGCTGTGCTAGGACTAGCAGGGGAACCAACTCAGCTGGGAATTGACATGATTCGTGCCTTCCCTACTCTGGAAGTATTTTCAGTCTCAGTGGACAGACACAGAGATCATCTCTGGGTAATTGTTGGATCTTAGTCATGGAGTAACCCTGACTAAGTTTGGTCTGAGTTCTCATCTTCAAGACAGAAGGATTTCAAGACTTAAAAAAGAAAAAGAAAAAGAAGTGAGCAGAGAAGCAAGATTTGCTTACAAAACATAACAAAAAAAAAAAAAACTACACACTAAGAATGAATATGAGGCCGGTGCCGTGGCTCACTAGGCTAATCCTCCGCCTGCGGCGCCAGCACCCTGGTTTCTAGTCCCAGTCGGGGTGCCGGATTCTGTCCCAGATGCTCCTCTTCCAGTACAGCTTTCTGCTGTGGCCCAGGAAGGCAGTGGAGGATGGCCCAATTGCTTGGGCCCTGCACCCGCAAGGGAGACCAGGAGGAAGCACCGGGCTCCTGGCTTGGGATCAGCGCAGCGCTCTGGCCATAGCAGCCATTTGGGGGGTGAACCAAGTGAAAAAGGAAGACCTTTCTCTCTGTCTCTCTCTCTCTCTCACTAACTCTGCCTGTCAAAAAAAAAAAAAAAAAAATGAATATGCCCAAACTAACAGAATATGTTGCAATCAACAATGTTCTAGGCTGTCCTTTTAAGTATCTTGGAAGCATAGGGGCTGATTTTTGGATGGGGCTTAATTGAACATTCAAAGTGGGCTGAGTTTAGAGTGAGGCTTGAGTGATGCACATTTCCATATCCTTTTTTGGAAATTTATGAAATATAATACTGGCAGGTACATGATGGAATTGAGAGTGTTGGCCATGGTAATTTTATTGTAATACAATGATAATGACATAAATTTCATGGTGTGTATGCAGCTTGAAGCCATATTGGGTATTTGTGAAACAGGGTGGTTAAGGCAGCAGGAGTGGGGGTTGTCTCATGAATCTGGCAAAACTGTCATGGGGAAGGCTTACCCAGCTCCTCTCTGTTATTGCTCCTTCCTTGCCTACATAATTACGTCCTTGCTTGCCAAGGGAAGTCTTGGTCTTAGAGTTGCATGGTGGATAACTACATGTAAATTTAAGGAAAGTTTGGTATGAACAAAGAATTTTATGAATCACTGCTTAATTTGAAAGAACAATTTCTTTTTTTAACTTTTATTTAATAAATATAAATTTCCAAAGTACACCTTTTGGATTACAGTGGCTTTTTCCCCCATAATCTCCCTCCCACCCTCAACCATCCCATCTCCCACTCTCTCTCCCATCCCATTCACATCAAGATTCATTTTAAATTATCTTTATATACAGAAGATCAATTTAGTATATACTAAGTAAAGATTTCAACAGTTTGCACCCACACAGAAACACAAAGTATAAAGTACTGTTTGAGTACTAGTTATACCGTTAATTCACATAGCATAATACATTAAGGACAGAGATCCTACATGGGGAGTAAGTGCACAGTGACTCCTGTTGTTGATTTAACAATTTGACACTCTTGTTTATGGCATCAGTAATCACCCGAGGCTCTTGTTATGAGCTGCCAAGGCTATGGAAGCCTCTTGAGTTCACCAACTCCAATCTTATTTAGATAAGGCCATAGTCAAAGTGGAAGTTCTCTCCTCCCTTCAGAGTAAGATACCTCCTTCTTTGATGGCCCGTTCTGAAAGAGCAATTTCAATGAGATTTTTCTCACTATCTGTGCTAACTGAATGGTATTTAACCTTAAAAATTAGTAAGACATGATAATCATAACTCTAATTAGATACAGGCCAGTGGACCCTCTAAACATCCCAACCGGAACCTTTATGAAGTTTTTGAAGGAGAAGAGTATATTATTTTCTGTGTGTGAATAACATGACATGTACTTGGCTCAACTGCCTGTCTGTGGATCAAACATCAAGGTGAGAAGATTACTGAGGTCCAGGCTTGAGCCAAAAAAGACAGAGTAAGGGTCGTACAGAAGCAGACTTAGCCCAGTGACCTGCCATTTCCCAGGCCATTATTTGAGCCAGTTTCTGCCCAAAAAAGCAGATTGTGATCAACTTCTGTATACCTGGGGAGGGTTCGATTTCTTAAAATCTAATTAGGATTCACATTGATTTCCTTTCATTTTGTCTGAAATCCACTTACGTACTAACAATACAAGTCTGAGACTAGCTGTGCAATGCCTATTATTATTTTTCTTTTTTTTTTCATCTTCTCCCTGCCCTCTCTCCCACCATGGTTCCTCAAGCTGCTGCCACAGCCACTCCCATTTTGACAGAAAATTATGACTGGGAACCCTTCCTGCCTGTCTCATATGTTCTCTGGGCACTGTATCTTAACAGAAGCATTTTGCTTATTTTAAATAATTATTCATATTTAATAACGTGAACAAATTTCATATATTTCATATATGCAGGTTTAAGATCATAGTGATACTTCCCATCCTACCCTCCCTCTCATGCTCATATCCTTCCTACTCCTTCCTTCCTTATTCTTTCTTTTAATTTCTACAATGAAATACTTTCAATTTATTTTATAGTCATAAGGTTAACCCTCCACTAAGTGAAGAATTCAAAATAGTAAGAAGAAAAAAAAAGTAAAACACTGTTCCTCAGTAGTAGAGACAAGGGATATAAACAATAATCAAATCTCAGAATGTCAATTTCACTCATATATATTACTGATTTCAATCTCCATCTTGGCTGTTAGTCTGTTTAGGTTTTCTGTGGTCTTCTTAACTCAATTTAGATAGGTTTATGTTTCCAGGAATCTATCTACTTCTAGATTTTCCAATTTGTTGGATTGTAACTGTTTGTAGTAATTCCTGATGATTCTTTTTATTTCTGTTTTATTTGTTGTTATATCTTCTTTTTTCATCTCTCATTTTATTTATTTGGATCTTCTCTCTCTCTCTTTCTAATTTTGGTTAGCTGGGTCAATGGTGTATCAATTTGTATTTTTCCCCCAAAACCAGCTCTTCATTTCACTGATCTTTTGTATTTTTGTTTCAATTTTGATTATTTCTTCTCTGATTTTAATTATTTCCTCCTACTATACTTGTGTTTGCTTAGTTGTTATTTTTCTAGTTCCTTGAGATGCATTGACAGATTATTTATTTGATGCCTTACTAATTTCTCTTTTTTAAAGATTTATTTATTTGAAAGGTAGAAAGCTACAGAGAGACAGAGGTAGAGAGAGAAAGAGAGAAAGAGAGAGAGAAAGTCCTTCATCCACTGGTTCATTCCAAAAATGGCTGGAATACCAGAGCTGGGCCAATCTGGTGCCAGAAACCAGGAGTTTCTTCTAGTTCTCCCA